TTGCCATCCTGGCTGTGAGGCAAAGTTATAGGGGCTCAGACTTGTCAATCAGACTCAAAACAAAGAGTGGAGGAAGGTAAATGGAAAAGAATAACTCTGAAAAGAGGCAGTGTTGTCTGTACTTATTACGTGTAGGGATCGGAATGTAAAGAAGAAAACGCAAGACAGAATACCGGCAATATTTACCAGTCACTTAAAAGGTAGCGTTTTATTTCCTTAATTGCTAAGATGAAATACTTGGACTGGTGAATCTAAGTTTTGAATAACAGAAGTAGTAATAGTGATAATGATGATTGATGAACATTTAAAATAAAAAACTTTGTTAAAAAAAAAAACTGATTACAAATGAATTTAAATGAGGCCTATAAATCCAAATTTATAAAAACATTATTAATTTATTAAACATCTTTTTTTATATATTGTACAAACTACTGCAGTCATGTTAGCTAGCCACAAATAAACATGCTCCAAATTTATGGTGGTCTTTGGAACGGACCTGGAACATCGTAAGGACGTCCATTGTGCAATTCATTCAGCCCTTTTCCAGAGTATTGTCAGGACATTTTCAGAACTGCTGTCAGATTAAAAATTTTTAAAAAGTTTAACATGCTGAACAAAACTTTGTTAGCAATACTAATGTAAAAGAACTCCTGGAATTTTCCCGCTTGGGTCCTACAAACTGGCACAAATGGTAAGGGTGATGAGAGTTCATTTTTTTGCACTCGCGGCCTGCGTTAAATTAATCTCTCAAAGGTGCCCTTTGATTGCTGCCAATTCAGGAGAACATCCCCCTTGACAGGTAGAGAAGCTCAGTTCCCTGCTAATTAAAACCAGCCTGTCCAAGGCAGGATGTTTGAAAAATGAATAATAAAGTATAGATCACATATCAGCTAAGGTGGGATAACACATAGGGGCACTGGACGGGTGGTGGGGGGGGGGGGTGGTAGTTTATGCATCTTAAAAGGCCTCAGCTCTTATCTAAACATCAGCCTCTGACTTCTGTCTGCCACGCCAGAAGTCTGTCTCCAATTGTTTTTGCATGCTTAAAACTAACAGTGAAGTGTGGGCACTGCTTTTGAAATGCAACCTTAAAATGATTGTGGAGGAGCTGTCTAAAACGTAAATGACAAATCCCATTTGTCACCATCGATATGCTTTAGTTGCCTTGTTAGTAAGCTGCAGTTCACCCAACAAGCACCATGCTAAAATAGCTTCCACCTTGCTGTAGTATACAGCGGTTAATTATTATCAAGTCTGACGATTGCCTGTATAGCTTAAATTACACAGAAAACTTCATTTAGGATACAGTCCTTTTCATAACCCTGAAATAGCCTGCTTAGTTTTCTATAGCTGATTAAGACTAAATTTGCTTTAAATTGTTGTTTTCCATTTAGTACTAGTTAAACTTTCACTCACAGAGATAATAGTTCCATTTTCAAATAAAATTACATGCATGGTCATACTTTACTGCAGTGAAAATCCAACTTCTAAGAAAATTGAAGGTATTTTGAAATCGCTGTTTCTTTTTTTGTGTTTTGCATCAGTTGTAACCGTTATTTATTTGTTATTTTAATTTTATTCAGCAACATGCTATGGGTTATCCAAGAGGAAGAAAGGAATTTCCTCTATGGCCATGCTATTGTGTCTTCTAAATAACACAGTAAAATCTCACTTGGTTCAGTTTAAAAGCAGATTAATGTAACAGTAGCCTGTTTTATTTGCACAATTCCGAAAAACACAGGTTGAATTATTCAGTCAGCAACTGAAAATGTAACTTAAAAGATCAAATATTAAATACTCATTAAATATGAAACCCTTTATTCACTGAATAGGTTTTTCAAAAGGTTAATTTCACAGTTCTATTTAAGATTGGCAAGCTATTTTTTTAGACAAATTATGTGGAAAATTTATTAAATTTATTAAAATCCCATTTTAGAATGGGGAAAAAGGATTTCCCATTTTCAATATCTTAAGTTTCTCTTGACAGCTTTAAGTCCGGAACACTAAATTAATCGGTAGAAACTGAGTGGTTCAAATTTGTATTGTATTCTTAAAGGAAAATTCTATGTCACAGATTTTATTATCAGAACGTTGTATTTCATTTTATGAAGATTATTTTCACTGGATGATGGAAAAACGGATTATTTCACGTACCCAAATTTAACCCCTTTCTTCTAAGGTTTCTTTGCCATGTTTGACTCCGAGACCTTACTGGGCAACCTACTGTCAGTTAAAGCAAGTCGCCTCTTAAGCACTAGTCATAACAATGGAACTATCGTTGCTCGCTGCTTATACTTTATACTGCGCATCAAATGCAGTGAACATGTGCTTCCAGTATCCGTAATAACCCTGCTTCTCAGCCTTGCTGTATTACGCTGTATAACTTGCCTTTTTCCTGTTACTCATTTAGTAATTACCCAATGCCTTTGAAGGAGAGAAATGAGCCCAGTGTTTCAATTAAATGTCTCGCAAGACTGATATTTTTTTTAATGTTCCGATTTGGGGAAAACACAAAAGATTGTGTGTTGTTGCACAGGGAGAACAATTGGTCCGGAGTGTACAGTACCTGTGTCCAGCAGCAGCTACAGCTACATAACGGCTGAATGAGAAATGTGATTTTCTAATGGATCCTGCGATAAGATCAGGATAGTTAATTACAAGAGAGTTCCTTTACCAGGGCTGATTAAATCTAAAAAGTATGTTGTCTAGGAACCTAAGACTCATGTTTATTTCGGGTCTGTTTCTAATCTGCGCAGTGGCTGCCACCTTCGGATTTATCGCTTCTTTACGTCGCGCACACAAGTATTAATGAGTGCGTTTTGTGGGCTCGGATTCCACACTGGGTTTTACTCATATTCATGTGACTGCCCACTTAGCAGATTACAGAGAGGTCAGGGCACGGCCTGTCACGTACAACGCGGCGAGACAATCGCAGACAATCACAGTGCGTCGCCGTCAGCCAGGAGCCGAACCCTCAGTAAAACATGCACGGGTAGATTGGGTTTCTATTACACCGCCATTTTGGATGAAAGTGGAGGCGGGCAAAGTTTTAACGGTGATACATAGGTCCCAGATCTATGATCCACCTGGATGGGTCTTTTGAACCCTTTTTTTTTAAAGGTTAAAGAACAGAAAGAAGCTGCAAAATGAGAAGAGGAACAAACTGTGTGCTCAGTGCTGGGCTGGTATTTCTGCGTGTTTCACTATATGGCGGACTCCAGGGCAAAGCCTAGCCACATCTGTTTGTAATGTCTTCATCTAAATCCCTGCAGGAGGGGGAAAAAATAAAACTACTGTTGGTTGGAGACAGACCCTGTTGGTTCATGCTCCCCTAATTGCATTTACTTCTTCATTTGTTTTTTCCTTAAGTCTCCCTTTTGTATGTTTGCATTTTTTTTTCCTGACGGTCTTTCAGCAGGAGACACTAACACCCTCATTAGATGTCATAAATCCCCCTCATTCCATTCCCCCCCCCCCATATCCTAACAATGTTAATGTAATACTGGCAATGTGCGGGTAAATCACGACTGATTTTGGAGCTGAAGGTTATTTTGGAAGCCCTGCCCCCAACCCAACTTCCCCTCCACCCATTAGACTAAGCCAGGCAGGCAAAGAAATTTTTAAAAAGGGGGCGGGGTCACTGGAGTGACCGAGGCAACTGTATGCCATCTAATTGGTATTGACATCCATGTCTCTGAGGAGATTTGACATCTGAGGGCAAACCTTTCCATTGAATACTCACAAAAGCACCCCTGGAATCACACTGGCACTCACAGCACCGCCTCGCTAGTAACGATCGATCCTAATCAGATTTCAGCACGCGGAAAGGAAAAATGAAAATAAAATCAAAAAGTGCCGCTGGAGCAAAATTGACATCCTGCTGCAGTACCAACCATAGGCGCCTCCAGTCAAGGCCAGCTGCCGCTTTATCATTGGTGTATTGGCTGCTCTGTGACGCCACCCTCCCTGTAAGATTGCCTCTGTGTGAGAAAGGTGCATCACCCTCTAAAAACAGTTCCATAGTCGGAAACAACACATCTGTTTGAAAAGCCAGTGTTGACATCACACAGTTTTGACATTCTACAGGACTGCCTATGCTCTCCTATAAGGAGGCAAATTTTTGCGCACAGAAGACAGGAAAGCAGTGCAGGTAAGACCTGCTAGAGACAGCCGCGGATGCATTCCCCTCCTACCTGTCTAAATTCACATGTTAACACTAAGCTGAATTTTTGGCCGAATTTTGTGTCACATCAGTACCCAGCCTGCTTCACATCTTGGCAGCACGGACAGGTGGAGACATTTCAGCTTCCCTGCAGTCAGTCGGCAGCTGAAAATTTCCAGTCTCTCAGAACAATTCTATTCATTGTCTCTAACAATTAAGCTTTGGCTAAACATCATGTGACGTCTGCTTGAAACGATAACTTGTTTATAGTAATCTGGTTATTTGTGAGTGTATTGATGTAGATGAAAAAACAATCTTAATTGGTATTTGTATGCAAGTATTATGCCCTATATTCTGAGATAAGTGATTACAGCTGTCTCCGATATTCCTGCCTGCTTTAGAAACCCTTTCAGATCCTTCGGTTTAGAAAGCATTTTAGATCTTTCCATCAGTCGCTATCCAAGGACCAAGTGCATTTTCAAGATATATCTTCCAAGTTCTTATCGTGAGCAGGGCGATGGGGGCCCTGGAGCTTATCCTACGCATCACAGGGCAGGAGCACACTCTAGACAGGATTGCAGTACAAGAGAGACGTTTTAGTATGTATTTTAATAGCGTTCATGGTCATGGTGCTGTACGTGACATGCAGTGCCACTTGAAACATCTGATTCAGGGTGATTGATGACACAGGCTGGACCCAAACTCTTACCCGTCAGTCCTAGACTGGGGCTTTGGAACGGAACCAGCAGTCTAGACTGCTGGGAGATGAGCATCGCTTCAGATAAAAGCCGTAAAATGCACTTAAGCCGTAATAAGTCTGCTCGCTGTGTCTTCTCAGAGACCGATGCTATCAACCAAGGAGACTGGAGATAACGGGAAGGCATTCCTCCTGCTGGGGCTGCTTTCCAGTGAATGTATGGGGCACTGAGGAATGGGCCAAGGGGAAGATTGGAATATTGCACCTGTGCCATGGGAGCAACAAACATCTTGTCTCTTTATGATGGGTTCTGTGTGTAAATCCAATGCCATACTGACACCTCCATAACAGTCTCCCAAAATGGGAGTAAGGTATGTACGTATGTATGTGTGTGTATGTATGTTAATATCCTTATTGTTGTTGTTGTTATAGCAACAGTTTTTATTGTTTCTAATATTTTGTTGTTGTTGTGCTTGTTATTGTTGTCAGTTTTGAATTACTGAGCAATTTATGTTATTGCTAACAATATATATTTATATATAATCAATCATTGTAATTTTATGTATTGACTGAGCTACTTGGTGTAATGCAAGAAATGAAGTTTAAATATATTTTTCAATGGTTAAACGACCATCTTGGTTTGGGGACTTTAACGGGGAAGCTTATCGTCTCAACTCAGTGTTTGTAACTTAGTCTTGTGTTTATACCTTGGTGTTGCTCTTTTCACGATAGGATGCCATGAGATTAAGACCTTGCTTTCTAAGGATCCTTCTGATCGAAGCGGAGAGTCTTGACACATGTCAGCCACATTTGGCATGAAGTATTGACCTCCGTCTCTGTGGGGCCACGAACCTGTCCATACCCGGCACCAGATGGAACAATCCCCAGGCCGGCGGCATGTCTCTTACCCAAGGCACTTTGTGATTTCCCAGGCTCGTTGTAGGTGCGGCTCTGCTCTGGTGTGCCAGGGAACAGAGCGGGGCACTTGCACACTGCTGCACCACAGGCCTGACGTATGCCAACAATTGTCCAGCCCGGGATTAGTTTTTGTATCCGGTTACGGACTTTATTGCCATGGAGTCGGGTTCGGCACTCTGTGGCAGGCCAGGGATGTTGCTGAAATGCAGTGATTTATGTGTTGCTGAGTGAGAGCAGCAGGTTCAAGCCAGAGGTCTCAGCACTGGAGGGTGGGGGGTGGCGGAGTTAAAACAGTCAGTGCTCCTTTTAAAGGCTTCCTTTCCACACATACTAGGCCCGTATAGTGAAAATAGTGAAACTGTAAACAAGCTGGGAACATTGTTTATGTTTGAAGTAACACTGATGGCAGAACTCACAGGGGACAAGGAAAACTTCCTGAAAATAACTATAACAGTCCAAAGAAATTTACTGTAAACCCATCCAATGTGTGCTTCTTATATCTCATAAATATTACTTTTTTGTACTGGATAAATAGTTACCGCAGATGAATGGCTGATGCATTTTTCTTAACACGACGATGAAGATCTATTAAAATTTTTCAGAACAGTATTTTAAATGATCAAGTGCCTAGTGAATGCAATAACTATAGCAACCCTGCAACTTCTCACTCAAGATCACTTTCCAGGGCCAACAGAGTCTGTGCTGCTTCAAGCTAATGACACCTGGCTGATCACGGTCTGTCGCCAATGGCAACAAACTGGGCAGATGATTTCAGCAACGATGATATAACAGAAAATGACCTCATTCCTGCAGCTTCTCTGAAGACTCCAAAAGCTTTGAGGATGAAGGGCTGTCAAAACCTGTCAGATTTCTGAAACAGAGAAAAACCTGTGCAACGTGCAAATGGGGGAGTTTTATTTTTCTCCGTCCAGTTTGATATGACACTGTAGCTCACTTGGAAAGTTTCCTTGGAAGGCTTTAAAAATGCCTTCATAGAGATGAATGATAATTACGTGCATGGGTTTGAGTGGAAGATGTAAGTGACCTTTTCAAACCACATGTTTTAACGTGCATAATAATGAAGGTGTAGTGTAACTTTAACCTTTGACCCCAGCTTACAAAAGCTGCATTTAATACCAGGTTCCTGCATTGTTCCTTCTCTTGGTCCATAGATTCATAGTCACAATCACTTTCAGTTTCTTAACCTTAACCCTCCCTGTCTGTGAAAGTTCAATGATGGTCAAACAAAGTTTTCATGATAATTCAACCCCATCCCATCAAAATTTCTATGTAAGCTAAAATGGTGTAAAAAATAGCCTATCACAGCTGAACTGATTTCATATGGCACTGAACCTTCTGCAACTGCAACTTCTGCCCTTCATATTCATAAGCACAGCAGCCTTGCCAATTCTGTGGTTTAATAACCACCATATATATTTTTCTTGTATATCTTGTAATAGCTTTGATTACCTGTAATATCAACAATACGATCAACACTAAAATGATATAAAAGCAGATTATGTAAACTGAAATTAGAAGTGAAACAGCCTGCCTTTAATATGAAATATGATATTCCTGTTAATTACAAAAAACTGTTCAATATGTCATTTGCCAAAATGAGGTGCTGCCCATAAAACAAGAGATTGAAGAGGTAAAATGTTCAGGTCCGATCTATAAGGTGACAGTGATGCGTCTCCTAGATACTGCTGGAGCTGCACGTTGACGGAGGTAACCGATGGTAATCAGGTTAAGGGATTAGCCAGCTTGAAGGCATCGCCTTCGATACAGGACTTTGGAAATACATAATGACAGCTGTAGACTGATGACACCTTGAAGCGGTTGGACAATACAAGCTGGCAATTTCAGCTAATCCTAAAATGCACTCAGTATTTAGTTCCACAGGTGTGCTCTGCTTCAGTCCCTCTGCTTCTTGGGATAGACTCCAGGTTCACTGTAACCCCCCACTGGATAAGCCATTATGAAAGATATTTGGATAGATGTTTTCTCAATGTTATCATCTTAAGTAATAGTTGTATTCTTAGTTTAGAGTCTGTAATGCAGTGCTTTCCAGTGTACTGTAATGGGAACTAACCTTTAGCTTTCTCATGGCTCACTAAGGGTGGAACTGGCATTTTGTTACTGTGAACAGTACACACCTGACTGCTTTATTGGTTCCTGTATCACTGCAGGCCGTCATGGCTGCAAGGGTGCTGCCTACCATAGACGCCGCTCTGGAATTCTGAGTTGTGCTTATAGCCACAACATAAGTGATACTGTCAACTGTGTAACATGCCCTGGTGGATATTCCCCCAAACCCAGAGTGTCACCTATAAATCCCTAACTCTTCTTGCTGAATTCTCTCCATGCAGTTTTTTTGTAGTTGTCATATTTCTTACTGGGATTTTACAAACTATTACTGCTTCTAAACTGTCCTCAAGATTGTAATTTAAAAAAAAGAAAGAAAAAAAAACAGTAGTTGATGTTGTCAGGTGAAATATGGGTCAGAAATTACCAGGTATGTTCCAGTATATGTGGGTGATGGGCACCAAAGTGGGGTAGATAGGCTTTTGCACAGTGTTGGTTATCATTTCAGATGCAGATATTGTCCTGAGGATTGTTTATGCTTTAAATGAGAGAAGCAGCAGTAGGGCATGTCTGCAGAGAGGTGGGGTCTGGTTGCATGAGAGGGGTCATTTGCATGAGAGGTTTGTCACAGGCCTACGTTTGCGTGACAGGAACAGCTGTCAATGAACTGACTTCATTTTCTTGGATGACATGGCCTCATGTGGGTCACGCAGATACAAGATGCATTTCCATTCATCCATCACCTCAGTGGCCACCGACCCTTTGACCTTTGGATGTTGACCTTCAACCTCTGATGTTGACCCCTTCGTGGAACCTCTTATTTCGCGCTCAGGCATCTCCATTGACTACCTGCCAGGCACCTGCTCTGAGAAATGAAACGACAGGAATGTTACTCCTGGGAGTCCATTGGCCACTTAGACAACAGCCTTGGTTCAATCCCTGAATGGGCCTTGAGTAGGTCGGGTAAACCAATCTCCCTAATTATCTATTGAAAGAACATTCTCTTTTCCTTTTAGAGTCATTACTCTGATTTCAATTGTTGAAAAGTAACATTGAGGGGTTAGAGTAAGAGGGGAAAAAATATATGAAAAGATAGTGTTCCGATTTCATCAAGGTTAATTGCATGGAGGGACTAGATGCCAAATCCAAGTCTTGCATGGCAGGGGGGTTAGAAGCACATTAAGACAGGAAAACATGAAGGATAAGTATTCTCATATGGTGCTCAGTGCAAATAGTTGAATAAGAGATCATAGCCTTGTCTCTAAGTTCACATATGCCCCTGTCCATTTGTGAATGGAGAGCTGAGGGTGCTTCGTGTTGTCTTACTGCTTACAGGAGAATGCCGTTGGGTCTTCAAACTTGAAGATGGTCTAGAGTTGTAGACAACATACTGATATATAAACATATCTTAGTTAGCCACTGAACTGTTCAACATTTCTAAGAAACATTTTTAAGTCAACATGGTTAAATAATGTGAGTAATGTATGCCGGCACCTATAAAAGAATCCCATTCTCAAAACATTTGAAGAAAATGCTGAAAGAGCAAAAATAAATGCTGATAGAGACAAACAATGGATTCTTTAGACAATACATCTATAGAGTGAACTTGTCTTGGAAATGCCTTTCTAAAATACAAATAAAAAGTCTGCAAACAGACAGCGGCGGTTGGCTAGTGATCTGAAGAATGGCAACCTCAGTTTGGCCACTTCATGGATTTAATGTAGAAAAAAGATATTTTAAGTCAAAAAAATCCAAAAGACGTGTGTTGAGCATGGTGGCGTCTGTGCGGAAACACTCAAATGGCCTTTGCTTAAGTGAGTCATGCACCTCAAACATCAATATATATCAGCATGGTTATTCTTTGGATACTGTATTTTGGTGATTTAATCAAGATGTCCTGATCTGGTAATGAGCACTATGGATGGGGTCACAAGCAGGGGGCCAGCTATACATCAGATGGGGCTGCACTTGTAGGAACCTATGTTCCAGCTCCATTAAACCTAAGAAAGGAAGAAGGTGAGTGGAAGGAAAAAAAAAGAAGAGGAGAGACGAAGGCAGCAAATATTCCTCAAAGCGCTCGTGCCACTGGAAATTTAGAATTCAGCACATGCACTTGAAGGGAGAAACCGACAAGGGGTCAAGGTGGAGCGGGTGGGGGTTGGTGTAGCATGGCTAGGTGGAGCGGGTGGGGGTTGGTGTAGCATGGCAAGGTGGAGCGGGTGGGGGTTGGTGTAGCATGGCAAGGTGCCGCTCCACCCATTCACCTCTGTGGAGCTGCAGGTACACACAGTCAGTACTATTTCTCCAAGACAATCAGAGGACTGGAGAAAGTGCAGAGGTCTTGAGACGGAAGTCGGGGGCAGCAGGACAAGGCGAGCTGCAGTGTGACGCCAAGACATAATCCCCCGCCCCCCCCCCCCCCCATCTGCTTCCAATTGCTGTCACGAGTCGGGGAATGGAGGAGAAGGTGGGGAGGGGGCTGTTTGAGTGATTCAGTCCCTGCGGAGTATAAGAGAAACTCAAGGAGACAAACTTCTCAAGAGTTTCTCAGGTTACGGTAGTTGCAGCGTTGGAGTCGGCGCGGACGACAAAGGCAGGAGTATTGGAGGAAGTGGTGCTGGGCCCGAGCGCTGCCACCGGCCTTCCTCCACAAAGGCGCTCTCATCACAGACGCAACAATGGCTGTATTCTCTTCCAGTTAGAGCAGTGTGCGCCTGTCCACTTTCAAGCCGGCCTTGAGTGCAAGCTTCCCTGATTAGCCGGCAGATACCGAGTCTCAGGAATCTGGTGGAGGTGATTTAGAATCTAGCCAATTCTCGGTAAACAGGAAGATGTGGGTGGACAGATGGCAGGACCGGACCATGAATATGACCCATTTCATCGTCCTCCTGCATGTTGTCCAAAAAGCATTTAAATGAATCATTCTCCCTCATTTTTCTTTTTCAGATGTCTATAGTATATTCAGTATTTATATTAGTCCTCTTAATTGTGGCAATGTTAGTTTATTTTACATTTTATGGTTAATATTAGTATTTGTTTTTTACTAATTTAATGTGGTTTAATAGTGCCTTTTTAAAACTGCAGTTATAATTCCATATTAAATTCCATATGCATCAAAACTATATAAAAAGTGTTTTACTGTGCATGTGTGTGTGTCTCTCAATACATCATATGTATAATGTGGTACAGGTGCAGATGCTGTGGTGAATTACCCCTCTCAGGTGCTCTGATAAAATCCAGGTGAACAGCTGCATGTCCATCTTCAGTGTGGCTTAATTTATTATGTGATATCCATGCAGAAATGAGCAATTACCTAGAAACCTACAAAGCTCAGAGGGCAGTAATTCTGCCATTTTAGGCAGCCGTTTTTCTGGTCCTTAGACAACACACACACACACACACACACACACACATATATATATATATATATTTATTTATTTGCTTGTTTCTTTGCTGTCAATAATCCCAGAATTCTCTTTTTGATCACTTTGGGAACAGTCTACACATTCATGGCCCTGTCTGTCCCGCAGCACACCAAGGATTTAACAAATGAGCAATCAGGAAATAGACATCAGAACTGGCAGAGCTGGGGTGAACTTTTTTTCTGTAAATGGCCCCTCCCCCTTTATCCCTGATTGGTCAGCACCTTTCTTGCTGAAGCCATCCTTAGATACAGTAGTGGCTGTGGCAGCCTGTCAGTGTGTCGCCGTTGCGTTGACGTCTTTAGAACAGCGCTTGGCTGACCTGACTGGTGACCTCTCAACAAGACAAGCCTCTCGCCGAAGCTGGTGACTGTAGCGGCTGTCAGATGTAAGACTGCAGCTGGCGGAAGGGACAACCCGCTGGCGTGGGCGGCATCCTGGGCAGGACGGGAACTCGGTGATGAAACTGCTTCTTCTGTGACCTTTATACTGGATTGTCTACAGGGAGCCACAGTTTCCAGGAATGAAGGAGAGGTTGGGTAGTACCACTCGGCATCTGACAGCAGTGCAGTGCAGCAGATACCTTACAGCCGACGCTGGTGCAGAACCCAAAATTATCCAAACGCATATCAGTGCTTTCTGGGAAGCTGATCCGGCAAGCAGTCTTCCAAAGACCGCACCAGCTCTAAACTTTACCATGTTTCGATGGTGAAACGTAGTGACATTAAAATAACTATCAGCACTGCTAGTCTGCAATGCGGCAACCAGCTTCCCCTCACACTCGTATGTCACACAAACTCCAAGCAGAAAAATATGTGACGGGGAACACTGTGTTTTTATTTGAATTATTTTGTGCCAGAATTAATCAAGGTCTAGCTTTAGGTGGTACGGAAAACAAAATCTGGTGATAAGCACACTTATTTACTTCACTTATGCCTTATTACAAATCATTACATAGCATTAAATACTGTAGCCTCAGAAAACACAACCCAGCCACTGGTGGCCTGCCCCCCCCCCCCCCCCAACTCAGAGCTCTTTCCCTGCTGCAGTGCGCATGTTCTCTTTTCGTACTTTCTGCCTTGCGCTGACTCTCAGACGGCTGTCTTTTATTTTCATTCCTCTCCACCACTTTTGTTAAAACCATCTCCACTCCTGTCCCCAAAAAAGTCCACATTCCTTCTTCCCATCCCAGTGTCATGTGGTTCTCTTCCCCAGGGCAAATCTGACACAAGAGTTTCTTCTCTATTGATGTCTTTAGCTAAAGACGTCACAGAAACTGCTTCTAAAACTTCTCTGTGCTTCCGGCTTTGTTACGCCGCGTATAATTGTCAGTGTAAGAATTACTTAAAATGAAAGAGACAACTGAACGGTAACCCTTAGTCCTACGGTGATGACTTCCACTTCCTTATGAGATAAGAAAAGCAACTGCAGGTTAACATCTATGATTTGTTACAAGGATTTCTATGAAAATAGGGCAGCCTGACTGGCCCTACTTCATGGGGAAAAAATAGAGTTTGAATTCTGTTTTGAAATTTATGGCCTGTCATGTAAAGGGGTTTCCCACAAAAAATTTTATGCTCTGACTCAAAGGCAGTGGCAAAAGCCCCAGGGTCCACCGATCAAAACTGAAAGTGCTCACGGTACAGAATGGACCCATGGTTTGAAGGATATAAAGGTTTTAATGTGCTATAGATACCTACTCAGTGATATGTCAGCAGTACCACACATGCAGCAGCATAACCTTTGGGCTCACTGATCCATCCATCCATCTTCCAACTACTTTTCCATTACAGGGTTGTGGTGAGCCTGGGGTGAACATACTATAGGCAAATCTGAGACCAGTTCACCTACCTGCATGAATATGAATCTGTCTATGTAGAGCCACAAGAGGGATTTGAACCCCCATCACAGGTGGTGTGAAATGGTGCTACCCAATCTACCCCTTTGCAGTTCTAGGCCCTCTTCTCCTCTATTTTCTCCTTCTTGTTTCTTCTTAATCATGTATCTCTCCCTTGTTTTATATAAATGTTGAACAGATAGTGTGCTGTACCTCATTGTAACAAATAGGAAGCAGGCAATTCTTGTCTTATATATGCAGTCTGATGATGTACCGAGAAAATGTTTTTCACACCCATCTGAATTGGAAAGCAGAGAATATGTAAATTTCCTGTTGAATTGGAAAGTATTTCCATTGCATTAAATCCCTCGTAAATGAGTCGATTTATATCAATTCTTAATGTTGCACTGCAACGGGACGCATGCGACGGAGTGGGATTTGTAACAGCGAGGACGTGTTTGCTAGGGCTTGTCAGGGGACGGCTTCCTCTGTGTGTGCCCTGAAGCTATTGAAACGTGATTTATGCACGTAAGGCTACATATTTCGATCATCAAGTCCCTGTGCAAAGGCTGCCATCATGCCAAGCAGCATTCGTCTCTCGGGGCCACAAATGACTGACGTGCCTCTATTCTCCTTAACTTAAACAGTTGAATAGCTCATGGGCGGAGTATAGATTAATGTGCACCTTGGCCTGAACAACGCTCCATTAAGGGACCTAAAGGAATCTGAGCGACCCAAGCATGCACACAAAAGCGGACATTAAATAAATTAATGCTATAGAAAGGCAAATGTGAGTATTAAATTACTGTCATGTTATAAGGTCAATTTGAGCCAGAAACATAAGCGGGTTAAGGGGGACTACTTACAAAACCTAAGGAAGTGTATTTTTGTTTTCAAGCAACTGAGATAATTAAAATGGAGAGGAGGAAAATGAGAGGAATAGAGTTACGATCAAAGTTTGTATGCACTTGGCTGTGTTTTGTTGGGTTGTACCCCAGGCTGCTGTAAATCAGGCTTCGAGTGAGCCAAAAGTCAGCAGTCTGCGTCTCCAAGACTGTCTGCTCACACCTCCCCCGGAAGGTTCGGGGCAGGCTGGGTGGGCCTTCACTTAAGGTAAGTGAAACCTTTCTTTACAGTGTTTGACACCCTCATTTTTAATTTGCTCAGCATCACCCCCCCCACCCCTTTTCTCTGACCAACCAACACTGGCAAATACCCTGACTCTGGAAGGACAGGCAGTCAGCCAGCAGGGCCTCCCCCCAGACCCGGTTAGTCGGTGATCTTTCCGGAAGGTGACGCGATTGCCTGTGTGCTCGCTGGCGGCATCCCTCAGGTACACTCCAGACCTCCCCGCTCACTGCACTCACTGCGCTCACTGCGCTCACTTACGTTTCTTCGCCTCATCCCGCCCTTTCATCTGCCTGTTTTTCATGGCTCTCCTTCTCTCTTTTTTTTCTTTTTTTTTTGAGGTGCTGCTGAACAATGCCTTACACAATGCCGGGAGCAAAAGAAAAATATATACGGGGAACAATCTGTGGAAGCAATCTGGTTAAAGTTTCAAACCGTTTAGCCCATTTTTCCCCTTTCCCTCCATATTCAGGCCCTCTCTTTAAACCTGCTCCCCCCTAAGCAGCCCCCCCTGGCAATATCCCCACATCCCTTTCCTTAGGATGTAAGACTTGAACCCCCCAGTCATGTATTGCATTCACAAAAAGGGTCTGGGTTATGGCAGCATCACAAAGGGCTACGGACCTCTCTCTGCTGCGGTTCAGCACACGGGTTGACGCAGGGGACATGGGGTGTTAATACTGCAGGCTCAGCGAGGGAGCATGAGGCGTCTTCAGGTCCTCCCACGCGTCCTTC